AAAAAAAAAAACCTTTATAAACATACTATTGTATACATGTGAGTAGGGATCATATTAAGGCATCACAAGTTGAACTCTCTGAGAAATGTAGGAATGAATACAGGTGCATTCACTTTAAAAGTCACAAAAACTAGTGACTTCATGAGTATAAAATATTTCAACATTAATATTTGATAACATTCTTCACTTTCAGGGTTTTATATATATTTATTAAAGTTCAAGCATGTTCTTCTGCAGTAGGTACTTTCTTCATAAATAGTAAAGTGTTCCTTCAGTGGTTTTTTGTTTGTTTTCATGACCCCCCTCAATCTCAGTATGTCTGGTAGACATCATGTATGGGAACCTGAATTGTAGCAGTAGGAAATGGTTGAGGTATGTAGCCAGCATAACCTCCGTAAACTGCGGCTGCAGCTGCGGCGTTCTTCTGTAGTGTGGCTAGCGTGGCTGTGGCAGGAGCAGCAAATGGGACATAACTGGCACCGTAGATCCCAGCCGCAGGAATTCTCTGTACATTCGGAGCCACTGTGTATACAGGAGTTATTGGGCGGCCCTAAGGAATGGGGAAGGAAAAAGAAAAAACAGATCCTGATGTTAATATCCATCGTGAACAGGTCTGTGGCTTTGGTACTAGAAAGAGAACCAGAGAGCAGCTAGATGGCGCAGTGGCTAGAGCACTGGCCCTGAAGTCAGGAGGACCTGAGTTCAAATCTGCCCTCATACCAAACACTTGACACTTACTAGCTGTGTGACCCTGGGCAAGTCACTTAACCCCAATTGCCAAAAAAAGAAAAGAGAGAGAGAGAGAGAGAAAACCAGGAATGGAGCAAATTGAGCAGTGAATTTCCAGTCAGACATCCAGGTTTGAATGATTTTTCCCTCCCTCTGTTAACTTACTACCTATGGGACCTTGGGCAGGTCATTTCCCCTCTGTGGGCCTGTCTTCATCTGGAAAATAGGGTGCTGAATGAGGTCGGAGATGATTATCAAAGCTGATACATTTCATAAATTGGAGGAACCAGTATTTTACTGTATTATATACTGACTGACTCCATCAAAAATTTTAAAACAGACCAAAAAGCATTGTCTGCATATATGTGTGTGTGTGTGTGTGTGTATACAATATACATATGTATATACATGAATGAGAGAGATTACTTCTAATAACAAATAAAAAAAAACTTTAAAAATAATATTGGCAGGGCAGCTAGGTGGCCGAGTGGATAGAGCACTGGCCCTGAAGTCAGGAGGACCTGAGTTCAAATCTGGCCTCAGACCAAACACTTGACACTTACTAGCTGTGTGACCCTGGGCAAGTCACTTAACCCCAATTGCCTTAACAATAAAATAAAATAAAATAATAAAAAAAAAGATGATGACATAAAACGGTTTCATTTCATGGCAAACCACAAACTACATACATCTGCAGTAATTTTGAAAATGTGCATTCAGTTCCACTATAATGCTTACTTTGAAAATGCAAATTTGATTCAACAGGATTGATATATTAGGGAACAATTTGAGCACAACATGAACTTCACATTTGTTTATATGTGATTTCAACCAAAATTTGCAGAAATCTGTGCTACTTCACAATACCTCAACCCTTCTGATACCAATTTCCACAAACAAACTTCAGGTCCTTTGCAAGGGAAACTGCCATGTTTGTCGCCTATCTTTTGGTGGAGTTGGAGCTGTGCTCAGAAGACGGCTGGTGTATCCCTAAGCATCCTCCCCCGCCTTCTACCAGGGCCCTGGGTCCAGGATTTTGGGGATGCCCTCTCGCCTTTAGCTATTGACTTCATTAGTAAAAGCAGCAAGCAACACAAATAGCATCCTGAGGCTGTGGAAACTGCCACTATTTATTGCAGTGTTTATATACCTCTTCACCATTTAACATGTATAAAAACTGTCATTACCATTTTAATTTGGTTCCTACCTTTTTTTTTTTTTATGTGTCACTGAGTGTTTTGACTTTAATCCCATTTCCCCCATAAACCCTAAGGTTTTTAAATTGCACAATTTTGCAGTTTGGAGAATGCATACTGTTAAAGAACTAACTGTACATTAGAAGATATTTACAAACTCTTAACCATTCTCTCCCTCTTCCTCTTGGTAAGTGGAAGTCATTTGTGTATACTCAATGAGGCATAAACAAGGCAGTTCTAACACTCTTTACACCAGACATTTTGCAATGAGACATGATGATGGTAAGACTTTTCAAGTATGAGGACCCCTTTTTAAGGTGAAAAAAAAGTAGATTCTGATCTGAATAGTTGATAGTATGTGTGTGTGAGGTGACCCCAATTATCAGCCACCTCACCCCAAGTTTGGGAACAACTGCCCACTGAAATCTACAGATTCCCTTCTAGCTCTAAGTTCTATGGTCTACAGAACCAACACTTTACTAGAGTTTTGAAGCACATAAAACCAAGGCATAGAATCCATAGTTAATCTAGTCCAAATCATACCTAACCATTAATCACTTCTATAATATACCCCCACTTGATAAATTTCAGTAGCTTCCTACTGCCTTCAGGATCAAACACAAAACACTCTGTTTGGCATTCTAAGTCTTTCATACCCTAGTCCCCTCCTATGTTTTCCAGTTTTCTTACCCTGTCGTGTGTGTTTAAAAAAAAAAAAAAAAAAAAAAAGGCTGCTCTGGAATGATCTGTTCTTTATAAGGCCAAGCTAACTTAGTCTTCACTCCTTCCCTTATTCAAGGCTCACAAGCCACTTCTTGAGAAACATAGTGAACAGAATACCGTACTGGGGATCAAGAAGAACTTACATCCAATTTTACCTCAGACACTTACTAGCTGTGAGCTCTGAGCACTTAATTTCTCTCAGCCTTAGCTTCCTCATCTGTAAAATGAGGATAATGATAGCACCTATTTCATAGGACTGTTGTGAGATCAAAGGAGATACTACATGTACAAACCTTAATGCTAACTCTTATTAATCCTACACTTCCAATTGGCTGCTGGACATCTTCACCCAAGGAAAACCTCAATGTGAGGATAGATTTGACAAACATTTACTAAGCGCCAACTCTGTACAAGCCACTGTGCTAGAGATACAAAGAGAAAAAAAAAAAGGCCCTGCCCTCAAGGAACTTATATTTTATTGAGGAAAAATAATGTATCTGCAGATCAACAAATACAAGGGAACTGTAGGAAGGAGGGAACATTAAAAATGGGAGGAATCAGAAAGGGCTACAAGTAGTAGGTGGCCTAAGAGCTGTGGAATGCATTTCAGATAGGGGGACAGATGGAAAGCTGAGTTCAGAGGACAGCCAACAGGCCAGTTTGGGTAGAACACAGAGCACATGAAGAAGAATCTTGTGGAGTAATCCTGGAATATCAGTTTACCAAACCTACAGTTGGCTTTAACGACCACGCTGAATAGTTTGTATGGTACCCTGAGGCAACAGAGTCACTCAAAATTTGTGAGCAAGAATATCATGGCTAGCCAGACCCCTGCCATGGGTAGTGGTGTGAAAGACACATTGGGGAAGGGAGACCAGTTAAGAGGGTATTATAATAGTCTGAATGAGAAATGGTGAGAGACCCAACTAGTGAATCATTGTATGAGTGACACAGCCACACTGCGATTGAGCTCTACCGACAAGCTGATCATCCAAATCTGCCCCAAAGCCATCTTTTCCCTATGTTTTTAAGGTTAAACCATTGCTTAGCAATTCCAATGAAGGAAAGGACTGAGTGAAATAGGAAAAATCAAACTGGCTCATTTAACTACTTGTTAACCTCCAATACTTTAACCTTCCCAAGGGTGTTTCTGACACTTCTCTGATTTCTGAGTTCCTTCTAAGGCCTCCATTTTGGGGATGGGCCTGGGCTGGCCATTCTTTATTTACCTCCTGGCTCTGCCCACATTCTCTCTTTCGGCCAACCCCTGCACAGGTATTATTTCATTTGATCCCCAAGACAACTCTGGGAAGCAGATGTTATGATTATCTCCATTTGAGTTTAGGAAACTGAGGCAAAGAGCAGTCATGTGACATGCCTAGGGTCCCCCAGCTAGTAAGTATCTGAGGTAAGATTTCAACTCAGGTCTTGAACTCAAAGCCTAATGCTCTAGCCATTGTACCACCAGCAGCCTCAATATGTGGTCCATCACAAGAAAAGAACCAGTAGAGTATTCTGGACCAAGAGTCTATACAGACCTACCTTCAAATCCTGGCTGGGCCACTAGTAAGTTGCATGAACCCAATCGCTTAACCTTTCCCATCATTGCTCTCATTTGTCATCATCCAAAATCACCCAGGTAGTAAGAGACCCAGGAATTGAACTGAGATCTATTGACCCTTCACGTTGAATACTAAGTCCAATATTTGTTGAATTAATGAATGCACGCATGCTATCTCCTCACACCCTCCTCTCCCCTCATTTATACAAATTCCTGTTTTGGCGTAGAGCTCCTAAAGTTTTAGGAGTTTGCAGCATAAACAACTTTCACGGTCTAGTTTAGATTGAGTAAAAGACAGCATGGCATAATGGTTACAGAGCAGGTCTGATGGTAGGAGGACCAGTCGGTTCAAGTTGGCCTCTTATCCATACTGGCTGTTTGACTTTCGGCAAGTCACACAACTTCTCAATGCCCCAGGCAGCTCTCAAAGACTAAATTGCAGATAAGTATTCTTCCCTGAGAATTGAAACCAAGAGAGTTAGGTCTGAAATAAAAAGTAATAAAAAAAGGATTCTAAGAAAAGGATGAAACCTCATTAAAGGTAGTTAAATAAAAGGGAATTAAACAAAGCCCCACCCCAGGAAGACACATCCCTGTTTATCCCAAGGACAAAGGAAGAGAGAGCTCAATTTGTGGGCAGTTTCTTGGACCTACAAGGGCCTGTGGAGGATCTCATATGAAAGATCCACAGTTCCCGGTGGGTTTCCAGGTGTAGCAGATAGAGAGCTATGCCTGGAGTCATGAAGACCTGAGTTCAAATCTAGCCTTAGACACTAACTGCATGACCATGGGCAAGTCACTTAAAAAAAACTGTCTGCCTTAGTTTTCTCAACTGTAAAATGGAGATAACAATAGCACCTACCATACAGGGTTGTTGTGAGGATCAAATACTACAATATCTGTAAAAAGTGCTTAGCACAGAGTCTGGTCAAGATTAAATACTATATTAAACCTCCTCTCTTTTCCCTTCTCCTTCCCTTTCTCCTCCAGCATAATCTGGAATACTAAAACTTTGCCTGCCAAAAAATCTGCCGCTCTATGAGTACAAGCCTTAATATTAAAGCTACTGCTGAGTATGTGTATCAAATACCTCCTTTAGTGACAGCTTCCTAATTGTAGGAACCTGTGTTTAAAATTAGCCTGACTTACCTCATCCAATATATTGTGGATCGTGGAGTTCTAGGCACACAAGGAACTCAATACCTATACACAAATAAATGCTGGAAGGAAATACACATCATATAAAATTTCCAAGACATAAGAAACTTACCTGGAAAGGTGGAGGGGTTGAAACAGCAGGTATGATAGCAGCAGCAGCGGCGGCAGCAGCACTCGCCGGGTCTGGTTGGACTGCTATGGGGTTGATCATATGTTCCATTGTATGGATTTTGCCATCTTCCAGCATCTTGGGAGCAGGGGCTGCCTGAAACATGGAATACTGGGCCCCGATAGCAGGGATGGCCACTAAAACAGGATCAGAAATGGTAAAAACCAAGCTGATTCAGATTAATATATGTTCTCTATGAAATAAAACCAAATGTAACAGCAAGATGTTGCCACTAGTTGAGAAATGATCTATCAGTAATAACATTCAATACAGAGAAATTTCTTTCTTCTCTATAGTGGGTGGTGGCTGTGGGGGAGGGGGAGGTGTCTCCTATGGTTTAAACAAGTAGGATCTAAATTGGAAATTGACCAAGATCTCCATACCGTGGCCAGACCTTATAAGAATGAGTCAGCCACCTTCATTATCACTTTATCACTGCTAGACCTGCAACATTCCTTGGCTTTATTGTCTTTTAAGAGGCAAAAAAGCTGAGGGTTTCATCACAAAGCTCAGAGGAACAGACTCATGCTGTTAGAGTTTAATTTGATATTAAACTCTAGACTACTGACACACAATGAGAGAATATAGTACGTAAAATTAAAGATATAGGCATCTTTACAGGATCCACTAAAAAAATTAGTCAGGCAATGATTTCATGGGGCTTTCTATACAAACCACCAATTCAAAAGTCTTTTTACTGGTTGTAGTGATAAAGACATTTCAATCAAAAAGTCTCAGAAAGTCAGCAATATTTCCTGAACGTTTACTTGGTGGGACACTGTGGGGAGACAAGAAAATATAATGTCCCTATCTTCAAGGGGATTATAATACAGTACCTAGAGTTGAAATGTATAAAGAAGTTATTTTATGTGAATGATTATTTTTCCAATTATAGAAGTGTATAACATACTGATTTTTAAAGAATATAAATTCTAGTAAAGCACAGAAATATATTTTATATAATTTATTAGAATTTACATCTATCTACCTATCTACCTATCTATACACACACACACACACACACACACACACACACACACACACAAAGAAGGAGAAATGGTTTACTGTGGAACAGTTTATGACTCCAAAGGCTTTTTTATTCATATTTTTGTGAACTGAAGAATTTTCAGGCAGAAATGACATTAACAAGAAACCAAGCTATGCTTCCTATGTCATGCTATGCCATTATAAACATCCACCCTTCCCAAGATAATAAATTCTTTTCCCAGTTTAGAAGTAGACAATTAACTAGGTAACCTATTATTAGGCAATTTTGCTTATCTTCAGCATTTCCACACCTAAACAGTGACCAGTCTTAAGAATGGAGAAAATGTGTGAAATGAATGGATGTCATCTTTTCTAAACCAAATGGACAGGTGGGGGCGCATAAGAGAACAAAGCTTTTAAAATGCAAAATGCAAAATGCTTATTTTCTTGATTTTTATCAAGAAGCACAGAAGATGAGAGAAAACCTAGGACTTAAATGGTTTATTTCATACTCATCTGGTTACTAGATCATTGCAATGTCTCCTGCAATCCTCTGAATATTATTTTATCCAACTACAAAAGACTGTATGTACCAGATACAGTACAGCACAATTCTCTCTTCTCCCATCAACCCCTACATTTTTGCCAATTATGAATAGGAATCTCCTTCCCAGGTAGAAGACTAAACCTCTGAAACTTGGGCCAGTTTCATGTACACAAGAAGAGAAAAGAGAATCCTTAGATAAAAAGGTTAAGCTCAACACTTGCTTATAATGTGAGTGGTATTTAGATGGAGATCTGGTCAGAAAGGTTCCCTATCTGCAGAAAGGATTTTATGTATAACAAATTACTTTTCTATCTCTTTAAGGAGAAGTACTAAATAAGGTAACTACTTTCTTTTTCTTATGGGCCAATCCAAGACTATGGCCAAAATGCAAAGGACTCCTTGCTTCTTCCATACTTGGGTAAAGTTTGTGGACCTTTGACCCATGGGAGAAGTAGAGCATGAAAGGTTGTTAACGAGGTAATATTACCAACTTTTTGTGGCAAATGCTTTACTGAAATTATCGACTCAAGCAATCTTTATTCTACTCTTGGTGAGGCAAGTAGGCAGTAAAATGTAAATACGGGGATATCTGTATTCCTAACATCGAATCACTGTAGTGAATGTTTTGCTACTCTTGCTTTTGAGGTGTTCATTTCAAGTGTAAATCCCTCAAGAGCAGAGATGCTGATGTTTTCTCTTTCCCTTGAAGTCTCCACAGTGACTGATGCAGGGAGCTACAGATGGTAGTTGAATAATGAATTGTAAATATTGAGGACTCTTTGACAACTAGGATTGACTCTGAGGAGTTGGCTGGGATCTCTTGGATTGATTTTACCTTCATCCTTACTACTTGGCTGGAATGAGGAACAGGTGGTTGAAACTAAGGCTGACATTTTAATTTATCAGATATTAATTCAGAAATTATAGTATCTGATATTGCAGTTCCATGGCATTTCTAGCTATCCAGTTCATTAAGACCATTATTACAGGAGGGCGATGGCCCTGACCACCGTCAAGTAAGAGCTTCCACCCTCTCCACCAACTCTTCTGACAGAAGTGAAGGTACAACAGGAGAGAAATGAACTTCCTTCTCTTGGTCAAATCCAGGCCACTCAACTCTGTCCAGTCTCTCTCTGGAAATGGCAAAAGGTTTAGCCATTGGTGAGCACATAAGGTTATACTACTATTGAGAAACACAAAAGAGCCCGGGCATCCATCTGTGTTGACTAAGGTTCTAAGGTTCCCCAAAAGGTGAAGGCACATATTTGCATGTGTCTGAGGTTCAGTTTAAAAAGAGGTCTGGGGTTTTGGCTGAATGGACATAGCCCATCCCTCAGATTTATACTGACCTGTACCGGGTTTAATAGCAACTGGATTGACAGCAGATAATTCCAAATTCGGTACAAGCTCAAATCCTTTTTCTTGCTGCTTTCCTTTCCCTTCATGATATCGGCTATATATGCCACGGCCTGCAGAGTATCCCCCGAGGTAAGATCCCCTAGGGCCTGGGGCTCTGTTGCCAGCTGCACCTCGCCCTCGGCCTCTTATGCTCCCTGCTTATAGAAACAACATAAAACTGAGATGAATAACCAAAAGTGACAGTGCCAGGAGGCCGAGCTTCACAAATCGAAAGACACCAAGGACCCTGACATTAGGCTGTTTACAAAGAGTCAAAGTTGTCCATGTGAAAACCTTCTCATTCCAATGAAGTGTTACAGATGCCCAAAGAAAATTCCTATGCCTGAGTGACATTACAATATAAGTAAATTCATCTATCAATGTGAAAAGTAAATACAGTCTTAGTGCAGTTTTAAGTTATTAAAATTTAAAACTAACAATTTTGGGAGACACTCTCTCTATATGAATGAGGTCAAAACTTTGGCATATTAGAACATACCAGGTCAATGCATGACATTTACATCATTGATGCCAGGGGCAGCTAGGTGGCGCAGTGGATAGAGCACCAGCCCTGAAGTCAGGAGGACCTGAGTTCAAATCCGGCCTCAGACCAAACACTTGATACTTATGATACTTATTAGCTGTGTGACCCTGTGTGACCCACTTAACCCAAACTGCCTTGCGGGTCGGGGGGGGGGGGGGGAAGGTGGGGAAGAGACAAAAAAAATATATATATCTTTGGATGCCCATTAAAATCTTCAAGACCTCATCTTACAAAAAAAGAGAAATCTAGCCACCAAAATCTATGGTCACATAGTGAATGGTAGGCTTGGGATACAACATTTTTAAGGAATGGAGAAGAAACATGACTTCAACCTGGGCTAAACTCCTGGCTCCATTAACTGGCTGTGTGACCTTGAACAAGTCATTTGATCTTTGGGAGCCTCAGTTTCCCCATCCATTAAGTGGGATAATAATACCTGGACTACCTGATCGACAGGATCGTATTGTGAGAAACAAATTAAATGATGCATGGGAAAGCATTTTACAAAGTATCAAAACAAACGTAGGCAGCATGGTACAATAGACTGGCTCTGGAGGCAGAGGATATGGGTTTAGAACCTACCTCTGATGCATACCACCTGTGTAATTTGGGGCAAATCATTTAAACTTTCTGGGCCTCAGTTTTTTCAATCTTATAAAACAAAGGGGTTAAGCTAGATTTGCTCTGAGGTCTGTTTCAGCTCTCTTAAGATCATTATATGATTTTACTTTATATGCAGATAGTAATAAGTTCTATGCTTTGTAGTGACTACTAAGGTGAAGGATGGTCTAAAAATCAGTACATTTTAAAAAGCACTTTCTGCAGATTCCATCATACGACTGAGGCAAATTGATGGGCTAGAAAGTGATGATCAAGGGTATGCAATGATGCCTTGGAACAAGAAATAAAAACGCCCCAAAGAGCTAACTTACCTTTCACAAAATAATCTCTGTTGGGCCCAATCAGAGCATTGTAGGGATAACTATAGTAGGCCAATGTATAGGGATCACACGAGTAAACATAGTTAGGCTGCTGAGGTGTTACTTCTGTTGTTACACTTCCTTTGGCCGCCTTCTGATAGCGTGTGTATTGCTCTTTGTCTACTGGCTTGGCCAAAGTAACTTCAAGACAAGAGCCTTCAAGTTCAGTGCCATTGAGGCTGTTCATAGCATGTACGGCATCTTCCCGGCTGGTGAAGTGAACAAATGCATAATCACGGATCTTTTTAACTCGCTCTACACAACCGGGATTAAACTGGCCAAAGCTCTTTTTAATTGTCTCCTCCGTTGTTTCAATCATCAGATTTCTCACGTACAGGATCTTCACAGTCTCCATGACATCTTCGTCAACATCTATCTCTGGCTCCGCCCAGTCCACTGCAATCTGGTGTCCCCACAGCTGGATTCTTCCGGGCATGAGTTTTCTCCTGGCCATGGCCGCTGCCCTATGGCTCTCATACTCCACAAATGCAAATCCTCTGTTCTTCATCTTATCAGCCGCACTCGCATACACAATAACATCTAGTACCCCTTCAGTCACTTTAGAGATCTCTTCCAGTATCTCCTCTCTCTTTTTCATCTTAGGGATGCCGCCGATGAATAGTCGGCAGTTATCCACGCTGCAACAGACTCCTAGAAGTCGACCCGGTCTGATTTCATAATTGTTCAGTTCCCTCACGGCACGCTTGGCTTCATGCTTGTGAGTGTACATAACAAAAGCGTAGCCACGGTTCTTCCCATCAAAGTCCATCATCAACCGCATCTCATAGATACGTCCAACTGATTCAAATACTGGTACCAGCTCATCTTCATACACGTCTCGGGGAATTTTACCTACAAAGACTTCGCAGCCACGTGGGGGATGCAGCCCTTCCCAACCTGGGGGAGGTCCGCCATATTTGCGTTGCCCGTTCTCCTGTATCATACTATAACCTGTACGTTCCATGAGGGCCAGGAGGGCAGCCTCATTCGGTGCCCCAGCTATACCTTCAGGAACTTTGGCTGCCGACATGTTGGTGGAATCGTTGCTCATTGTTGTAGTGGAATCTTCTGCTGTCATTATGTCAAAATCATTCAAAACTTGATGAAATCTAAAGCGGGAGAAAAGAAATGGGATTGATTATTCCACATTCTACACAAGGCAAGCACTGCAATTGTTATGTCTTAAAACAGTAACGTGTACCACAATTCTAGCTGAAAACCAGAGATAAAAATATGAAAAACAAAAACGAGCAAGCCAATCACAGGACATTTGTAAATATAACATTTTCAAATAGCCTAATTATTATGTGGAAATAACAGAAATTATTTCCTTCTTTGGAACTTATGTTTTAAGAGTTTCCTGGTAGATTGTTATATTTATCTAAATATCATCGAAGGGAAATATTTCTCTTGCAGAGGCAGAAAACAATTCTAATAATAAGTAAAGTATTGCCAACTTGGATTATTTTTTTTTAAAGATCATATCCTGATATTTCTTTGGAAAAGAAGACAAACGTTTTCACTGTAAGCATGTAAAACCAAGAAATTCCCTTACAAAGAAGTGGTCACATGATGAAAGCAAATAGTTTTCAGAAGAAAAAATGCAAATGATAAATGACTATGTGAAAAGATGCTACACATTGCTAATAAGAGAAATACAAATTAAAATAGCCTTCGTACTTATCAAGTCCACAAAAAAATGATTAAAAAAGAAGAAATAGTATTAGAAGGGTTGGGAGAAGACAGGCACATTAATAAAATAACAGGTGGTGTTGGTAATCAGTCGAACCATTCTAGAAAAACAATTTGGAACATGTACAAGATAGACAATTCTCTGGGTGGCATTCAAAGCCCTTCATAACTTGCTCCCTGTCTCCCAGATTTCCAGCATTCTTACACTTCACACACCAACCTTGCCTCCCAATCTACTCTATGATTCAGTGGCACTGCACTCCTTATGGTTTCTCAAACAAGATACTTCCATTTCTCATCTCCAGGTATTTTCACCGTCTATCTGCTATGCCTGGAATGCCTTCCTCTCCCTCCTCCATCTCTGCCCTCCTGGCTTCACTGGCTTTCTTCGAGGGCCACCTAAAATCCCACCTTCTACAGAAAGCCCTCCCCAATCCCCCTTAGTTCTACTGTCTTCCCTCTGTTGAATATTTCCAACTCATCCTACATACAAGCTTGTTTGTACATAGTTGTTTGCATGCTGTGCTCCTCATTAGACTGTAAGAAGACCTCATTAGACCCCGAGCGAAAAGACTGTCTTTTGTTTGTGTCATTAGGGCTTAACACAGTGCCTGGCACATAGTAAGTATGCAATAAATGTATATTAACATGACTCAGTAATCCCACTATTGGGAATATACTGAAAGGAAGTCAAGGTCAGAAATATTCATAGTAGCACTCTTTGTGGTAGTGAAAAACTAGAAACAAAAGGAGATACCAATTGACTTGACTATGTCTGGGTAAACTGTGGTTTATAAAAGTAACAGGATGCTATGATCCCTAAAGAATATGAAAATTCAAGGGACAACTAGGTAGCGCAGTGCATAGAGCTCCAGCCCTGGAGTCAGGAGGACCTGAGTTAAAATCTGGCCTTAGACATTGACACTCACTAGCTATGTGACCCTGGCCAAGTCACTTAACCCAAAAACTTGGGAAGACCTGTATGAAATAATGTAGAGTGAATGAAAACAGAAACAAGAGAACACAAGGACCCTAATAATTTAAAAGAAAACTATACTGAAATATGCTACCATTCAGATCAATACAATGACCAATCTTATTCCAGAGGCCTGGTGATGTAGAAAGGTAGCCACTGAGAGGTGTGTAACAGGACAAATGTTGAAATGTATGGGTTTCTTTTGTTTTTCTGTACTTCTTTATTACAATGGGGGTAGTGATAGGGTTTGAGTCTATTGTGGGTACTGCGAACCAATAGCAATATAAAAAAGCACCCAAAACATAAAATACAAAAAGATATGAACATCTTCAACGCTAAAAAAAGAAGTAAAGGAAGAAAGAAGAAGAGAAATTGAAACAAAAGTTGATAGGCCCGAACAGGCCAGGTTTTTAAAGCAATTACTCCTAATTCCCATACCCAGGTGATGTCACCACTAAATTATCTGCATCCAGTCTGGAACCTGCCACTGTCTATAATCTAAATTATATTTGGAACAGAATGAAATATTCATAACTAAGTGGTTAGCAGAACTTTTTTTTCCTCCCATCTTTCCATACATTATTGCATTAAACGTATTACATTAAATATGAGGGATCCCAAAAGTATTAGTCCAGTATTAAGCCATCAAAGCTGCAGTATGTGTGTTCTTAGGACCGCATGCCTGGCTATCAATCTAGACACATGATTCCTTTAATGACATCCCTCCAATCACCATTTGTTTTATCCTTCATAATCTTTAGATAGTTACTTGACCTGATCTCTTTCCTAGCATCTTAGATGTGAGGAACAAAATATCTTCAAAAAATGTCCACAATGTCTTTTTCCTCACAGCCCTGTGTATCTCCTGAAAGGACTGGGAAAATGAGAACACCACTCATGGTCCACTCTGTAATCTCAGGAACAGGGCAGATAGGTGGCACAGTGGATGGAGTGCCTGGAATAAAAAGTGCCAAGCTTGGAATAAAAAGACTCATCTTCCTAAGTTCAAATCTGACCTCCGACAATTGCTAGTTGTGTGACCCTGGGCTAGTCACTTCACTGTTTCCTCAGTTTCCTCATCTGTAAAACAAGCCAGAGAAGGAAATGGCAACCACCCCAGTATCTTTGCCAAGATACTGGGTCACGAAGAGTTGTCATGAAATGACTGAAAATGAGTGAACAAGGACAAGTTCCCCCCGCAAAACTTTTTGAAGGAAAACATCTACTCTTTATGGCCAGTGTACTCTTATTACAACAGCCCGCACTGTATTACTGTTGGCCAGTAAGTGCTCATATATCTACAACAAGGTCAGGAGATGGAACTCCTTATCCTCAAAAAGAGGAGCTAAGATGTCATAACTGAAAACCGTGTAGGATGATGCCAGGTATAAAACTGATATAATGGTTTTTCGAAGGGCAGAGGAAAAAGGAAAGAATATCTTGTTTTTCTACTTAGAATAAAACCTGTAAAGGCAACAAGACCCTAAAACACTTAACCAATATATTCCTCCAATCTTGGACCTGGCACAGTTCATGAAAAAACTCTGGATAAATATTCTAAGATTGCACAATTTAATTAATTAAACATGTGTCACAGACTTTGAGATTTAGAACAGGCCAGGTAGTCTTATCTGTACCCAGTGTACAAGGTAAACATGCTCCTCCTTCCTTCCAACTTCACTAAATCTGTCAACACTACCACCATTTTACTCGGTTTTCCATGTTTGAAACCTTAGTGCTATCTTTAAATCTGTCCTCTCCGTCACCTAAGAATTAAATCAGTTTAATTCAATAAGCATTTTTTCCCATGGTGACTTGCACCTAGTATACGCTTAACCAATACTTGGCCTTAATCATTTATTAAGTTCTTTCAATCCAGCCCCATATTTCTGCCTTTATTCCTTTCCCTCCTCACCTTTCAATTCCTATTACTGTTGTTGGCCTGTCGTGTCCAGCTCTTCATGACCCCATGGCCCATCACGTGCCAGGTTTTTCCAGTATGCACTCTCTCGAAATCTGTCCAAGCTCACATTTGTTGTTTCCATGACACTATCTATCCGTCTCATCCTCTGCCGTCCCCTTCTTGTCAGGCAATCAGAAGTTAAGTGACTTGCCCACGGTCACACAGCTAGGAAGTGTATACGGCTATATTTGAACTCAGGTTTTCCTATCTCTAAGCCTAGTGCTCTATCCACTGAGGCACCAGTTGCCTCTGGTGAATTTACAGAACTTAGAGAATAAATATAAAAAGAACTGAAACAAGGGATGGAGAGAAAGTATTAGCAGTTAGGTGAATCAGGAAAGGCTTCATATGGGAGATTTTGAACAAAAAGAAAGATTTTTCAAGGTGGCGGTGAGGAAGGAGTTCATTTTGAGGATAGGAGATAGCCAGCCAATGCAAAGGTATGCAGACCAGGAGACCAGAAGATGGGGTATAACGTGTGAAAAGCAAACTAACAGGGGAGTAAAACACAAGCTAGAGTAATAAGCGAGAAAGACACACAGATGACTCTAATTCAGGAAATTGTAATAAGTTTATTAAGGAAGTATAAAATAACATGTTACATGAGAGCTAAGGAAAAGCTTCCTACAGGGGGTGACATTTGCTTTCAAGGATGGCTAGGAATTGACAACTCATTAGAAAAGACCTTGATGTTTGGAAAGATTGAAGGCAAAAGAAGAAGGGTTGGACATGACTGAAATTACTGAATGGTCTCCTTCCATTAGAATGTAAACTCCTTCCGAGAAGGGATGGCTTCATTCTCTATATTTATATCCCCAGAACCTGACAATGATTGTTGATGGTTAAGAGTTGGAAACTCCACAAGGGAAGGGACAATGTCAGTAATAATAATAATTTAAAAAAAAAAAAAGCTGACAAATATCTATTTGGTGTCTACTATGTGTACAAATCCCTGGGAATGCTCAAGGAGATTAATTTCTCCCAGTTCATTTAGAACCTATATCTCCCCCAGTGTGCACAAAGTAGGGACTTAATAAATGTTTGTAGAATTGAATATAAGAATGATGGCACCCTGGAGGTTTCTGTATTGGCACACATGCTTTCTGGCATAGCAACCAGTCTTACAAAAATATCCATACATATTAAAATCAACTTTCTAAATACAAAAATTTTGATTATGAAATTGAAAAGCTTTATAACTATTATCTCTAGTAAGGATCTGACAGCCAAGATTTATGAATCAATAAACATTTATTAAGCACCTACTATGTGTCAGACCATCATGCTAGATGCTAAGCACTAAATATATACACTTTGTCCATCTGTCTGTCTCTCTCTCTCTCACACACACAAAAATCAAAAATATTCCCCAAAAAGTGGTCAAAGACTACGAACAAATGGTTCTTACAAGAAAATTTGCAAACTATAAATGACACTATGAAAAAATAGTTCAAATCACTACTAAGTAAAATGGAAAT